GACTGTATAGTTAATGATTTAAAAATTGTCAAAGTTGAAATTTATAATAAAAACATAGTAAGTGGACTCAAACTTTTAGAAGCAACCATATATGGAACCAGTATAGGAAAGAGTTAAAGATGAACACATGTGGAATACATCTTTTAAACAATCCCAATAAGGAAGCTTTCTAATTAAACTGGTTAATGCTGAGATACTTATACTAAATAAATTGGCTATAAGAAGGCTGGACCTATACAAACAAGTAAGATGTATTGCATGTAGTCAACAAGATGAAACTATAAAATACTTGTTAAAATGTTTAGTCTATGAAAATCAACTAAAAGAGACATGGAATAAAGAAGTAAATAGAATTATTAGAAACTTTAAAGAGCCATTAAAAAAAAGAAAGAGAGAGGCTGAAAAGAAAAACCACAGGTTAATTATCGATGACTGAGAAGAGATAGGAAAGTTTGACAAGTGGATTTTTAAAATAGTAGAACAGGTTTCTAAAACTAGTTAGGACATACTAAGCTTCTGTACTGGCCTTATAAGAACAAATATTATCTTAGAAATGGTAGACCTAAAGTGTCAAGATAAATATATAGGAAGAATAGCAAAAAAACAGATAATAAAAATATAAAAAAGAGTCTATAATCAAGTTCGAAAAAAAATTTGGAACAAGAGATGTGAAAAGGTAATTGAGTGGAAAAAAATACAAAAAATTGATAGAGAGAATAAGGCAAGAAGACCTCTATATTTTTCAAGTCGGAAAACTGTACTTCTGAAGAAAAAAAATCCATTATCGAAAGAAGAAACCTCAAAGATGAAGGCTTTCAAAAAATTCTAATAAGAAGAGTGGTTTATGAAATAAAATGATTGGGTTTTAAGTTCTGTCAGAATCTCGCAAGATGATTTGCAGTAGTGATCTGTAGACAATAAAATTAATAATTAAAAGGGTCTTTATTTGAACTATTAACAGAGCTATAAATTACTTTTGAAATTATACTTAGAGTTTTAATAATTCTTTAAAATAGAGATGAGTGAGTTAGATAGAGACTTAGCTTTAGCAATACATTCTCTAATATAAAGTATACATATATTTAATAAAGCATACATATCTAATCTGAGAAAGAATATTAAAAAAAAAAAAAAAATAGATTATCAATTTTAATTTTGATTAATTACTTTTAAATATCAATTATTATTGATTAATCAAATTTGATATTTAGATTTTTGATAATATAAAACTTTTGTGAACTACTATATTATTAAAAGTAAAAATTTTTAATAAATAATGGATTTTTTTAAAAGATTATGAGAAGAAAATTGAGATCAAAAATAGATAAATTTTTTAAATAATTAAGAAAAAAAAAGATACTATATTAAAATAAAGACCTGTGGGTCTATAGCACAGTGGTAGTGCTCCCAGGTCACAATCACAAGATCCAGAGTTCAATACCACCTAAGGGTCAAGTGAAAAAATATCACACACAATGAAACGATTCCATTGGATGACAGGTTAATACTTGTCATTGGGCATAGGCTTGGTTATCTTACCAATACCCGAAATGGAAGGATTCGCCATAATACTGTGTCACCTATAGCTGATCTTTATTAGATCAGGTCAGTCTATGGGTGTTGTGGACGATCAGTATCTTATCATTACCATGATAAGGTGGAGGAGGATGGGGCTGATCTCGTGGTCAACCAGGATAGAAACTGGATTAACGAAGACACTTCGCCAATCTTACCAACCGATAAGGAAGTTGTTAAGTTAAGAAGGCTGAAGTCCTGAAGAGAGTAAAAATTGTACCGGTGGGATACATAAAAGTATGGCCGAACTTGCCTGTGACGTATCATCGAGAGACTTTGGTGGGAGGAGAAATCCGCAGACCATACCGAAGTCTCAAAAACCGGGGACAGGTTAAAGTACACGCAATGGTCTGATAACTAGATTACTCTATAAAATTGTTCTAGGAAAAATTAAGAGAGCGTCGTATGTTCTTCCCAGGAGGAAAACCAGGTGACTGAATGGATTGATCTAGTATACTATATATAGAATAGTCTAATTACTTAGTGTAATAGATAGTACATAGTTTACATTATCCTGTAAATCAAATGTATATAAAGACATATTAACTATAAAAAGTTAATAAAGAACATAGTTAAGCTCTTTTGAGAACTGAAAGCTGTTGACGAGTGAATCAGTATGAGATTTAATTTAACCATGATATAATTGCCCAATGTATCGACATTGGTTTTCTTAAAGATTAATAAACACACCTTGCTGGCCTGACTGTGGATTATAATAATAATAAAAAAAAAAAAGATACTATATTAAAATATTTTTTATTAAAAAGAGATTTCTTTTTTTGTAATATACTATGTTTGTATATTTTTAAATATTCAGTAACTTGATAAAACATATATTATTTCCGAGATCAAACTTATAATAAATTGGTTCATGCTACTCAGCCTAGCTATAGGTATTACAACAAAAAACAGTATATAGATACAGTGTATATTATATTGTGACGATCTGATTGCGATAAAAAATTCTCATGGTCATGTGATTATTCTCCTTATAAATCGAGGAGATAACGCGCACAAACACGTACTTTCTTTCGATTTTGCATAGAGAAGTCGTTTGTCTTTTAATATGCCGTTTTCAAGAAAAGAAATCGATGATACGCAGTCAGAGTGTTCAAACTCCAATAGTGCGAGTGCACAAGTTAAGGTGGCCAAAAAACCCGCCACGCCAATTACTACACAGAAAACCCTCTTATCGTATATTCAAAAAGGTTTACCGACGCCAAGTCCTGGAGAAAGCCATCGCGAAAAGTATGAAGAGAAGTTTCGGGCACCGGTGACTCCAAAGACACCGAGTACGAACTCTAACTTGGATAAAACAGATGGTGAAGTAGAAAGAGAAAGCTCGGACCTAACCGAGGAGTTCGAAGAGCCAAACTTTGGAAGGAGAACCCTGAGGGTATGCTATTTGGGGTATTGAAATGTACATGCCTAATGTGTTCATGTTCTATCATAATGATATCGTGTTGATTGTGTAGAGAAGGGTTAAACGCAGGATTTATGTTTCATCAGATGAAGAGGAAGATGATGCACCGAGTATGTCTCAGATTCAACTATAATGATGGTTTTGCATTATAATCATTGTCTTTTAAACTTGTCTTCGAATATTCAGCACTAAAGAAACCACGTAAAAAGCAAAATAATAACGATGATGGGGAGTTTGTTTATGACGCCCATATGGGCGAGGAAAGCGACGAAGATGGTAAAGATTTTATCTTCTGTGTAGAATACAATAGGTTCATTCATAAAATATTTGTTAAATGTATTAGCGATGAGCGGTGTGGTTCAGAATGAGAGTAATTATGAAGACGAAGAACATAAGTCTGAAAGATCTAATCGATCCAACAAACAAGTTTCGAAAGCCTCTGGGTCTTCGACCAGCGCGCATAATAAATTAAAGGTTCTTACTTTATCTATAACATACGAGATTTGAATAATCATAACTGAGTGATGTATATAAATAGGCGTTCGCTTCCAGTGCGACTTCACGTCGCGGAGCATCATTTTTGCCTTCGATAATTATGACCGATTTCGAGAAAAAAAAGGTAATCCATAGGGTGGAGTGGTTTTCGATTGTGACCGATTCTTAGGATGCCACTTTTTTGTAAAATAATATTAGCAACGTGCAGCGGATTTCAAGGCAAAAAATGATGAGCGTTACCAATGGTTACTTGATGTCAAGGATGCAGATGGAAACCCTGAAGGTGAGCCTATAACCTCAATGTAGTTTCAATTACGATTTTTCGAACTCTACGTACTTCAAAAACCAATATAAACAAATAATATGAAAATAAACAAGGATCACCCGGATATGATCCGAGAACATTGTATATTCCCAAATCAGCTTGGGATAGATTCACACCTTTCGAAAAGCAATTCTGGGAAATCAAGTCACAACATTGGGATACGGTTTGCATTATTATACATAAATAAACATGTGACCTAACATAATCACTGATTATTATTTACAAATTGTTAGGTTGTATTCTTTAAAAAAGGAAAATTTTATGGTATATACAAAATTGTTGGTATTTTCGTTGACTTTTATGTAATTTCACATTTTAATAAATTAATCAATCCATGAAGAATTGTATGAACGCGATGCCGATATTGGCCATACGGAATTTGATCTTAAGCTCACAGATCGTGTAAACATGCGTATGGTCGGCGTGCCGGAGATGGCATTTGAATCTTGGGCTGCCCAATTTATTGCCAAAGGGTATATATTTAAAATTCAAGCATTTTAGAGGAAAGAAATTATTTCCACGCTTTCGAATATTCACTGAATTTGATAAATAGATACAAAGTTGCGAGAGTAGATCAGATGGAAACGGCCATAGGAAAGGAGATGCGAGAGAAGTCTAATAAGAAAAAGGTAAGAAAATCTTTATTGCGCTGGGAAGGTGCGCATCCATAACCATTTCTCATTCAAATATAGGAGGATAAGGTCATCCGACGTGAATTAACTTCCATTCTTACCGCCGGAACTATTGTGGATGGTGGACTATTGACAAATGATATGTCAACTTACTGCATGTCAATTAAGGTTTGACAGATCTTTTGTTAACAGATTATTCCAGGCCTCATGCAATTTTAAGAATACTTAAGGGCTCTTATGTATGTAGGAAGTATGTCAAACTGACAGCAGTCCTCCAGCCTTTGGAATCTGCTTTGTCGACACCGCGACCGCAGAATTCCATCTCACATCATTTGTTGATGACATAGATCGGACCCAATTTGAAACGTTGATAATGCAAGTTAAACCAAAAGAAATAGTATTCGAGAAGGTGAGAAGAGGTGATAATAATAGAATGGGATTCAGGAATTGAATGCATTGATAAGTCTAGTTGTCATTAGGGTAAGCTCAGCCCGCGATCACAACGTATACTGAAAGATTGCACTCACCGTGCAATTTGGACGGGTCTTAGACCGGATGTAGAATTTTGGGATGCAAACACAACTTGTGATGAAATAAGATTTTCCCGTTATTTTTCAAAAAATCTGAAGAAAGTTTTTACCCGAGACGAGGATGATGTTATGGGAAACCGGGACGACGATGATGATGTGATTATGGAATGTTCAAAAAGTGACGATGGAACAGGTTAGATGACTAGATTACTCGTAACAACTGAAGGAAATGACTCCAACACATTTTTTTTTTCTAGATTCATGGCCCAATGCAATAAAGGAGGCCATGCATAAACCGTTGATGATGTCTGCTTTGGGCGGTGAGTTTTCGACTTGGTATAATAAAGGAAAAGAAGTCGCCTGGATAATTTCTAACAAATTTATTTTTTTTAATTTTTTTTTTTTCAGGGCTCATCTGGTACTTGCGATCGGTAATACATTTTGTTATCATTATGAATTTTATCTTCAAATTTTTAATTTCAACTTGAAAACAAAAAAATAGCTTAAACTTGATTCGGAGCTCGTATCCCTGAAGAATTTTTACATCTATGATCCAATTCGTCATAGCACATCACTAATTCTTGACGGTCAGACGCTAGCAAATCTCGAGGTATTCGAGAATAGCTTGGATGGAAGCGACCAAGGAACAGTGTTTAAGCTATTAAACCATTGCATAACTCCATTTGGTAAGTTGATGTGAGAAGTTTACATGTATCATTGATGCTGATGTTTTCACCATCACACCAGGAAAACGCACTTTCAAACGATGGTTATGTCATCCGCTCCGGAATATTGATGCTATCAATGAACGCTTGGACGCTGTCGAAGAATTGAATGCGGCTCCCGCATTTCGGGAATCATTCTGCACAATATTCTCTCATTTCCCTGACCTCGAACGTTTGATCAGCCGAATCCACGCAAAGACTTGTAAAGTAAAAGAGTTTTTGCTCGTGTTGACGGCCTTCGAGAACTTAATGGTCAGGCTCTGATTAATTGTACTATGGTCATGACAACCTCACTGTACTCATCTTTTTTTCTCGTTTTTTATTCTCGTCCTTTTTTTTAAAAAAAAAAAAAATATATAGAAAGGTGTTGCAAACCTCGGTGGCTATACGAGTCAATTTAGGTCGAGAAGGCTACTTAAGTTGTTTGATTCCATTCCCGATTTGGCGCCCATGCTTCATTATTTCAGGGGTGCTTTCAAACACGAAGAAGCGGAAAACGAAGGTAAAAAGCTTTAAACGGATGATCGGCAAAAAATAAAATGATAATAATAAATAAATAAAAATAATGGTAACCATCCGTTGAACTGAATCCCTCAGGTCATCTGATTCCCCATCCTGGAATCGAGAAAGATTACGATGAAATAAAGAATAATCTTCGCGCGATTGATAAGCAGCTTGCCGATCACTTGGCCGAGGCCAACAGGAAGTTGAAGTGTGTAAGAAATTGATTTTAAATGCTTGATGCAGGTTATAGTAATCATCGGTAATTTTTTAGGACGACAAAGATTGTGTACAAAGATGTCGGTAAAGAAATATATCAACTCGAAGTACCCAACACAATAAAAGTGCCCGACGATTGGAGAAAATTGTCCCGCACACAGGTATCTATCTTATTTATTGGGTACTGCCTCGCGAAATTAAAACTCCGTCTCAACGCCTTTTATAATCGTATTTCTTAGAAAGTAAATCGTTATTGGAATCCAACCCTTCAAAAACTCGTCAGAGATTTGCAAGAAGCTCAAGAGGTGGAATCGGGTATTTTGAAATCCATCCAAGGGAGATTTTACGAAAAGTTTGATTCTCATTATCATGAGTGGTTGCGAGCGGTTAAATCCATTGCAGAACTTGACTGTTTGTTGAGTCTGGCCAAAAGTTCCTCTGCATTGGGTGGTGAGTTGATTGTGAGGCCAGGTAACGCATGATCGACCCAAGAACTAACGTTTCTTCGTTTCTAGAACCGTGCTGCCGACCTCAGTTCGTACAGGAGGGTCCTAGTGTATTGGAATTCGAAGAACTCAGGCATCCTTGTATCGTCTCTGGGTAAGCGACTTGAATAGGCAAACATGTGGCTGCCATCGACAACTTTTATTTATTTATTTATCTCGTTTGATTTCTGACAACTCCTGCATTAAAAGTGTGGCCAACGATTTCATTCCAAACGACACCTTCGTGGGTGGCAATCAACCAAACATCATATTATTGACAGGACCTAATATGGGCGGGAAATCCACACTCCTGAGACAGGTTTGGGACACAGATTTTTCCAAAAATTTCGGGGTATCCGAACATTTAACCAATATATTATTATGCTCGTCATTAGAATTGTGTCGCAATTATCATGGCACAACTTGGTTGTCATGTTCCTGCAAAGAGATGCCTTATGACGCCATTTGATAGGATCTACACGCGTATCGGTGCGAACGATAATATCTTGGCCGGTCAAAGCACGTTCATGGTAGAATTAAGCGAGACTTCAAAGATCCTACACGAGGCTACTCCCAGATCCATGGTCATTTTAGATGAGCTAGGTCGTGGAACTTCGACTTTCGACGGATACGCCATCGCGTACTCCGTTTTGCATTACTTGGCAACTCACATTGGATGCCTGGGTCTATTTTCCACGCATTACGTTATGCTCACCCAAGAATTTTCAAAGAATCCTAACATCGCGCTTAAGCATATGAGTTGTCAGGTTGATCAAGACCGGAAGGAAGTGACCTTTTTATACAAGCTGGTTCCCGGAGTTTGTCCAAAGTCATATGGAATGAATGTGGCCAATATGGCCGGAATTCCCCGCCAAATTGTCGACCGTGCGGAGGTGATCGCGGCAAAATTCGAACAAACCTCTCGACTGCAAGACACGTTGACCGCGAACAAGTCGGGTATTCCGATCACAACGTTATGCGATTTCGCTTATCTCCTGAAGGCTGCGTCCAAGAACGTTGATTTGTCCGAAGATGTGGGTGACAGAGCTTTGGACAATCAGTCTGATCGTGAAAAGGCCGAAAGGCATTCCCGGGTGTTGAAGGCCATCATTCGTGGAATTATGACAATTTACAGGTGAAAGAACTTGCCTAATAGAGCAAATGATTTTTTTAAAGATGATCATTCGCGGGCTCACGGTTCATAGATTCAAATATAATAATAATGTAATAAAAATTCTCTTTCATTACAACTAATATTATGCTAATAATAAACTTTTTGCTTATCAAACCGCGTATTAATTTTTATGTTCGTGTTGCCAATATTCATTTGAAAAAAATAGCATTTAAACTGAATGACGGTAAATATTAAATTCAGGAATAATAATAATATACGATGATCTAAAAGAAAGGTCGATGACCTAAGCGTTAAATAGATCCCAACTAAGGACTTCAAATTCGGTCAACACTCTATTGAACACTTCCATTCCCTCAAACAGATTGCCTTCGCGAGCTGTTTGCCTACTGCTACTAGTAGCTCCAATCAATATGGGTATATTGTAGGTGATCACGATATCCGTATTATGATTTGGAAGCCTGATTAATGCCATCAATATGTTCAATAAATTTCTCGAGTTAGGATCCGTTTCACGGAACTTTGAAACCAATTGCTGTCCTAACAATAAATATTTTGGTACATCCGGACTAAATTAAACGGGAGTTTCAAAGTGTTATCATTCGCTAAGGGCGCTAAAAAGTGTGAATGGATTTCGATAAAGAGTGAGTTATGGTACGTACGGGAGCCTTGGGATAGCGGCCAATTCGACTTTCTGGATATCACTATGCTCTTCAGCATCATTGTCGGCCGCCAAAGCCATAAAATGATGTCTATGAGGTAAATTGATTAAATTAACTGCGAAGGTGATGTCGACCATGGTAGTTGAGACACTTCACCTGATTGCTGCTTCGTCCGAATCCGTATTAACGTGCTGCAAGATTTCAACAATGATACTTTGGTCCGTTTCAACATTCACGAACACCTCTTGGTTATCCGGGACGTCTCTCACGTCACTTTTGAGATTAGGGAAATGGCAAACATTCAGGAAGGAGAAATAAAAAACACAAGTTTCATCGAAAGAATTTTAAGGAATTTTTGTGATAGGGGAAGCGCGCGAGTTTCAAAAGTCTGATACGGGCTAAAATTTTCATCTACCTGATGTCAACAAAATTTTCAGGGATAAAGGTGGCAATTGCACCACCAAATAGTTCTCGACGCGTGAACATTCCGTTCGATCTGGAAAACTGCATACGCGTGGGGGGGGAGGGGTTATATAACGATTAAGAGTTTATAGTCCGCTACCGCAGAAATTACGTAATTAATTCCGCGGCCATACGTTTATTAGGCGTAGTCACACGGCTAGGGAATTAATTTCTTTTTTAAAGTCATCCACTTTAATTCAATTCACCTTCACCTAAAATAATTAAGTGACAGCAGGCATTCCCAAACAATGTAATGTACTTTTATTCTTGGTAAACCCGCCACATCAAAAGTAAAAATTAACTATTACAATATTTGTCAAGTAATTATAAATAAATATACTTCGAAGCATATAAACTTCCTAATCATACATAAGACCGATAAAGAATTGTGAGTTGTTTTTTTTTTAAGTATATATATATATATATAAAATATACATATATCTGTATGCATATTAATTATTCTCCTATTCCCACCAAGTAGTGTCGTGTAGTTCTCCATTATTCCAAGAAGTCTGCGGTGGATTTTGACCACGACTTTCGCTTTTGTTCCGCTTGTTGCCAGCATTTTTCTTGTGTTTCTTGCCATTCGCACTTAACGAGTTGTTTCGGCTATGACCCTTGTCTTGTTTGGAATTCAATTGCGATTGATTACGCGATTGATTTCGCGATGGATCTTGATTCTTTTCATGTTTCGCATCGGGTGGCATTTGCGATTGGGGTGGAATTTGTGATTGGGAAGACGGCGGTTGGGGTAGAACCTCTTGCAATTGGGGTAGAATTTGTTGGGACGGCATTTGTGATTGAATTTGCGGTTGGGCTGGACCTCTGGATTGAGGTGGCATCTGTGGTAGTAGCGATATTTGCGGAGGCTGAACCTTAACTTGATGATGCTCCCGTTGTTGATTTGAACTTTGCGTTTCCTGTGACGTTTGGTTGCTCGGTTGGGGCAGCTTGACTCGAGGTGTTGAACTTTGCGTTTTATATGGGTTAATCGGGGTCTGATATGGATGTGGCATTCCATGTGTGTGTTGGTCTAAAATAGGTTGACCCTGCGTTGTTGTCGTCGGTGATGATGGAACAAGGGCGGTTAGTTGATGAGTAGATTGAGTATGCGCCTGTTGCACTGGGGGAAAACGAACACTATTGGTCGTAGCAGCTAGGTGCGGCTGTAGACTGGGCATAAAGTTATGCCCCGCGTGATGTTGACCGAATACCTGTTGAGGGTATTGTTCGTAAGTTGAATGTTCCTCGAGTTCTTTATTAGGCGTATCCGCATGAGACACATATGTATTATTTGCGACAACCGCACTATTTCGCAGAATGCCATTTTCCTTAATCAACCTGTCCTTTTCAACTTCTAAGTCATGTAGGCGACTCCTTAATTCTATTATATCCGCACGTGCCTGTTTCAATTCTAATTCGTTGTTATGCATACTGTTGTTACTCACTTCCTGAAGTCGCTGCAACTCCATTTTAGTAGCATCCAACTCCTGAGAACGTAGACGAAATTCTTCATTTTCTTGTCGCAAATCAGTGCAGAGCTTTAGCAATCTCGCGGATTCCGATTTTTGGGCTTCGTTCTCCTGCTGCCTTTTAGAATCGAGATCCTTTTGCTTCTGTTCAAGCATAGAAGTATGACTTTCGAAATCCATGAGACTCTTTTGAAGCTGAGTCTCCAAATCGCGATTACGGTTTTTTGATCGTTCCAGTTGACTTTCCAATTCATTTATCTTCAAACAATTATTTTCGAGATCTGTGACTTGTTTTTCTAGTTCCTTTACATGATTGCGCATTTGAACAAGTTCGTTCGATTCATTATCGCGCATTTTCAACCTTTGCTCTAGAACATCTATGGAAACACGGGTGTCCAAAAGATCCTTATGACTTTCTTTACATTTCTTATCAAGATCGGAATTTTCCGTCGCAAGTCGTTTAACTTCCTTGTTTAAATTTTCCAGTTCTCGACTTTGGTAGTTTTTTTGCGCTTCGAGCTCATTTCGTTTTTCTTCAAGTTGAATTTTCTGAGCACGAAGTTCACCTGCTTCTCGTTCGACCTCTTGCAATCGGGATCGCCAGCTATTTTCTTTATTCTTGAAATCATCACTATTACGCTCAAGGTCGTGAATTTTGAATTTCAATGAATCAATTTCTATCTGAGACTCACGAAGTTTCAGGTTAAGATCTGAAATATTCTTTTTATTATTGTTGTCGGAAGACGACAATACATCATTTTTCTGCTGTAATTTCTGATTTTCTTCGTAAAGCATCCTATTATTATTCTGCAAGTCACGAAAATTTTCTTTAGTTGTGAAAACCTCATCTTTAAGATCGCTAATCAGGCTATCATTCTTTTTTATCCGCAAGCTCATATCGTTAATCGACGAATTCAAGGCTTTGTTTTCGTCTGAAAATTTGTTATTTTCGGAGGTTAACTGTGCGTTCTTGGCGCGTAACTCTCTGAGATCGACGTCTATCTCATCGATGTGACGTTGAAGAGTTTGAGAAAGTGTTATGTCATTATGAAATTGTTGTTGTCGTTCTTGGATCTTGGCATTATCGGAAAGCAACTGTTGAATGCGCAATTGCAATTCGTCTATTTGACCAAGCTCCTGCTGATATTGTGCTTGCAAGTTTTGATGCATATTCTGAAGTTCGGCGTGACGATGCTGGATGGAGCTTGTCCGTTGAACCTCACCTTGATTTTCCCGATGACCGGCTTTAAGTTCGGCTTGAAGCTCAAGGTGTTGCGTTTGCAATTTCTCATATCGCGACAGTAGTTCATCATGGGTTGAACATATTTCTTGACGATAATTTAGTAATTCTTGAAGGAACAGATCTTGCAACTTTTCAAATTCTGTTGATTCGTTCACCCTTTCATCTTTCTCTTTCGCAGTTTCAATTGTCGACGAACCACCCGTGTCATCAGAATTCGTGTTCGTTCTAATTTCACTCGCAAACAATTCAAGTTGTTTTTGCACTTCCGACGATACTTTGCTAATAACCTCGGTGGTCAACGTGGTCAACTTGGAATGAAACTCTTCCCAACCAGATGGCGCAGATGGAAAGGGTGTAGGTGGGGCATGCACATAGAATGGATGATCATATCCATGTGTGCCATTATCCAGGTGCGGCAAGGTTTCCGGACTTCGCTTTTTTCTACCATGCTGGTGAGAATTTTCCGAGTCACCGTTCATTTCATGATTTGTCTAAAATAGTAATGATAATAATATTATAATAATGAGTAATAATAATAAGGGAAGAGAACCAAAGTAGAAAGAAAAGTATTATATTCCAGAGTTATGTATTTTATACACCAAAAAGGTTCATACTTTCTCTTTCCGTGCATTCCTCTTCTTTTTGCTCTCATCCTCCTTAGATTCTAAGACGTCAGTAGGCTTATCGGATTCGGTGGTGGAAGCGCTTCCGGGGATACTTGACGGCGTGAACTCCTTTGCAAGAGCATTTAAATTGCTCTTCCTTCGTCTCTTCTTCTCGATTTCTTCGGGATCTTCTTTGGATTCGCTACCGTTCTTCGAGGAGGACGCGACACTGCTTCCAGCGTTTGAAGACCCATTCGCGGATTGATTTTTTGGCGGAAAAGTGAAATCTTGGGCTAATCTTCCATAATTTGAACCGCGGATTTTTTGGTCCGGTACTTTTCCAAATAACTTCTCCAATGCTTCTATGGCAGTGATCGGTATATTTGAAGACCTATTAGTTTCCGGAGTTACTAATGCCTTATTTTAATTATATTGAAATAGCAAAATGAGTTAAGGTGTTCATTGCCCAACATGCAATCGTGCGAGCATAATGAAAGTGTCACACATGTGTGCATTCAAACGGCACTAAATCTTAAAAAGTTGGCTTACCAACGTCTAATAAAATGGGAATGCCTTATTAGGCAACGAATTTGACTTACCTCTCGTCTCGTTCCGTTCAAAGCATCTAAGGCATCACTAATATGCGCATCTTTGTCCTTTTCTTCCTGTTTTTTTGAAAGGGGAGGGCATCTTACGACGATAATTTTGTCGTCGTGCAAAAAAGGGGGCGTCTGAAAGATGTCCGGTTTCGTACTAGTCTCCGGGGTTTTCACATTGACCTATAAAAGAGACCACTGAGCAGTTAGAAATTCCGTAACCTTGTGTACGATCAGTGAAAGACTGTTAACAGGTTTCCACCGCAAGTCGAGATCATAGATTCGTAACCTGATTGCTTAAACAGGTATCGAATTAGGAAACATCAGTGATTAGAAGTGAATCCGCATACCTCTTCGTCGGTCGTCTTTAAGACGGTGGTCTCGCATCTTTCTCTCAACCCCTCGGTGAACACACTCGGTTTGGGTAACCGTACTGTTGGACCAGCCTTGGATTTCTTTGAAGATTTCCTTGACGGTGCGCTATTAGATGTGAGGGAGGTCGTCATAATACTGTCGGTTTATTCGAGTTTGCGAGAAGAGGGTCGATCAACCAAATAAAATTTACAGATTGTGTTGTAATATTATAGTACAAATAATGAAAAAGAAGTAACGTCTATTTATACAACGCAAAAAAAAAAAATAAATAAATAAAAATAATTCACATAAGGAATCGCTCGAAGAGAAATAATAAAAAAAAAAAAAAAAAGTTGTGGACAAAAGTCACGTGGTTCCAAGAGTAAAGGACAGATGCCTTGGTTATCTCGCGAAGTGCGAAATGTAGTTTTATACCAATCAATAAACATGCACAATACAAACCTGTTTGCAACAATAGGTATCAATTCGCGTCCAGGGCGTAAATCATATTGTAAAAAATGGGATTGATTTGGTTAGTGATCTTTCAAATTCCTAATCATTGTTGTCGTGCACAATATGTATCAATATTACTGCGCGTTTGCCTTGTATCACGTGATTATACCGAAAAATTTTTGGGGCTCTCCTTTTACATTACACAACACTGTTTGCGCCTGTTCCGTCACACAAAGTCATGATAAAGTCTATACCGTTTGCGGAGGCACCTTTATCTTTTCTGGAATTGTTCTTTTTTGCCATGTCTAATACGCGCTCTGCAACTATAAGTCGAAAAACGAATGAAACGGATATTCACATTTCCCTGTACTTGGATTCCTCTGGAAGTCAAGCAATTGATATCGACTCGGGTATTGGTTTTTTGGATCATGTAATAACCACCAAACAATGAGTATTCTCAATGGAACCATTTTGAAGCCTGTGATGTTATCGTCTTTTATTTTTTTATTTTTTTTTCAAAAAAAAAATAAAAAAAAATAGATGTATCATGCTCTCGCGAAACATTCCGGATGGTCACTCTCATTAAAATGCAAAGGAGACCTGCATATCGATGACCATCACTCGGCAGAAGACACGGCAATTGCATTGGGACTCGCATTCAAGACAGCAATGGGTGAGCCAAGAGGCATAAAAAGGTTTGGATATGCGTATGCGCCATTAGATGAGGTGATAAGTAGAAAGACTTGATCCTTTATATTATCGCATGTGTAGCAATTATTAATTCAAGAATCCAAAAAAAAAAAAAAAACTAGGCCTTGTCACGCGCCGTGGTTGATATTTCAGGAAGACCCTTTTCGGATATCAACTTGGATTTAAAAAGGGAAAAGATTGGCGACTTGTCCACAGAAATGTTGCCTCATGTAATGTCATCTTTTGCTACTTCAGCAGGAATTACACTGCATGTGGACGTTTTGAAAGGAAAGAATGATCACCACAGGTGAAACATTTCCGTGCACTATTTGACTATTGAATTTTTGCACAAGTTAATCGATGAATGAATGCTTGCTTTATAGAGCGGAATCGGCATTTAAAGCTCTTGCGATTGCCCTTAAGCAAGCGATCGAACGAACTGGAACAAACGAGATTCCGAGCACAAAAGGAGTCCTGTAATAAAGGAATTTCTTGAAGTAGTTTTCTTTTTTTTTTTTGTTTTTCTTTATATGCAAAAAACAATTTGAATATGAAAAGAATTCTGCGACTATACATTAATATCAACTCTTTAAATTTAACTAAAAAAATTTTTCAAATATCCACTTGGATATTAATTTTCAATCTAATCGATTTTTTCCAACGCATTTAATCTCTCGGGAAGTGGCGGATGCGAAAAGTGGTAGGCCGAATACCACGGATCATTATTCAAATTTCCTAAATTTTTTAGCTGGATCTTGATAAGACCTGATCGAAGCTGCGAACCATACCCTAATTTCTTAGCGTAAGAATCTAAAAAAAAATAAAAATAAAATGAAATAAGATGAGCAAATTAAAAGAAATAGAAGATCTAGATTCAACTTGCGATCAACTTACCAGCTTGAAATTCATGTTTTCTACTAAGTATATTCATAAAAAAAGCCACTACATTTTCGACAGGTGCATAAATAAATTGGAACAACATGAATCCAATCAAGGTTGGTTGTGTTATAAATCCGAATGACTGATAAAGGGTTGAATTATTTATGAACTGAGAGAATACGAAGAAAAGTAAAAGGTTATGGAGCTGGGAAATTATGAGCACTTTGATGGTATGGTTGAGGTACCAATGGCCTAATTCGTGACCTATATAGATTCAAGATATTCTTTTTTAAAAAAGAACTTCATCCGTTTTATAAACATCAATAAATTCAAACATACCAACAACGGCTAATATTTCTTCCGTGTCAGCTTGCTCAATCAATGTATCATATAAGACAATCCGCTTGTTTTTGAAAAATCCATAAAAGTATGCATTAGAATGTCCCGACCTTTTGCTACCATCGATTTTGTAAAGTTTCTTTAGAGGAAAATTAATACGAGAAGCTAGTTTTTCAATGTGTTCCCGAAGTTCACCATCCGGAAGCGGTTCGACTTTGTTGAACAAGGGTTGAATAAGTGTAGGATAAATGGTGAGTAATATGAAATTAAAGATCATCCTAAAAAGTTGAAAGAAATCTGTTACACGAAATGATGATAGGGAAAACCAAAATTTCTGCGAATCGAATCTTACATAAATATCCAAACATAAAAATAGAAATTATCACCAGTCCATTTTATTATTTGCAAAACTAAAGCCAAAATAGGAAGTCCTATGACTCCAGCAATTAAAAACCCTTTAATCACATCCATAAAAAACAACCCGATGGTCATTTTGTTAAATCCGTGACGTTCTTCGATTACGAAAGTATAGTAGAGACTTAATGGTAATGATATCAGATAAGTCATTAAAGTCATTATGACGGTAAATATCAACGATTGTGTGATCTAAAGGAGATAGATAATCGATGAGTGTGAAGAAATGATTCATGTCAAAGTTGATGCATGAAAACAAAGGAATGCAAAAAAACCTCATACTCCGTCCCGTACCCGGCGTATGTCAACAATTTTCCAGAAAAAGCCCACAGCCAAGGCAACACATCCCATACGATTATCCACGTGCTCTGCATTTGGCCAAATATCTCGGAACAAAACTGAAATTTGGCTTTATCGAGACCGTAAGCCTGAGTTTTCTGAAATTTCTCGCGTACCTCATCTATGCTTTGCAACGATTTTGGTGGATTGGGCTCTCGAAGTTTATGATATTGACGAATGCTACGAAAGATTCAGGTCAAAAATCATGAACGTGCATCAGATTTGATATCGACGATATATATTTCAAAGGTACCTTAGATATTGTTCGAATACGTAAACAGCCCAAGAGAACAAAAGAACAAATTCCTTATACGGCATATCCGGAGCTTTGAAGTCAAATCTAAGCAAACTCGGAAGATCTTGAAAATTTAAATCCATAGCGACTTATTTGAAAGAAAAAAAAAAAAAAAGAGTTATATGAATGTGGAAAAAACGATGATCTACATGCCTAATGCCCTTTTTATCTAGGCAGTTTTAGATATTTACTATAGATATGCTTTTTTTTTTTTTAATCCATTGTCAGGTTAGCTATATATGCTATATTTATGAGTCACTAAAGTTAAATTAACAATTAATTCATTTATCTTTGTTGATCTTGACTTTAAATGCAACTTTGAAAATGATTTGTTACTTTATCTATAATCTAGATATCATTGCTTGCAGGATACTATTGTAGATCCTTTACAAAAGTTTTGAAATTAAAAATTCAAACCACTTAATACATACAACCTTTATTATTTTGATAATATCAAATTTTATAAAAATTTTTTATATTTATTATTTTTTTTATATCTATTTTCTTTAAAAATCATATTTCTTATAATTAGTTCTTGATTTAAATATTTTATATAATATTTAAATTTAGAATTTAATCTATTACTTATTTAATCTATTTATTTATTTATTTTATTTTATTTCCTTTGATTTTTTTAAGTTTTTTTTTTTCAATTTATTTTTATATTTTTCTTGAAAATTTAATAGTTTAATAATGTAATAAAAATAGTCTTTAAAACTATTGAATAGTTATTTTTAGCTATGATTTTCATTCTATTTCTATTTTAATTATACTAACTGGACTTTATTAATTAGATTTATATAAAATATACAGATTGTTTTACAAAAATGGTTTTTATAACTTCTAGTCTATACTATCTTAAACTTTTATCAGATTTTATCCATTGAAAATATTATCTTTATCAGTTATTCTATTATATTCAAAACACTTAATATTTTGAAAATCCATTAAATAATTTCTTCTTTTTCTTCAAAAAATCATTTTTTGAAATATATTTACTTAATGGAAGTTTGTCTTTTATAAGGTATATTTAAATCATATATGATATACTTGTTATACTTAATTCTCAAAGATTAATTATTTATTGATATTTTTAATCTCTATGTAATTTCAATTAAATCTTTTGTCAATCATTAATAAGTCATATTGATGATTTAAGTTTTTTAATAATCATTCTTAACTACTTTTCAAATATGATCTATAAGAATTTTTCTTAATTAAGTAAAATCATAGGTCTTTCTTAAATATATCTGTTCTTGCAATTTTCATTATAACTATCTTTTAATATCTATAAAGTCATATTCTTTGATAATTGTTGATAATAGTAATACTTGGATTTTTCAATATATATTTAACTCTTATATTTGTGATTAATATATATAATCAAAATCTTTCAATCTTTTTTAAGGATAGTTTTTTGAGAAAAAATAAATTCTCATTGAAACTGATAAAATCCTAAGTCAATCATTGTTTTTTCTAATATTTCTTGATATCTTTACATATTCCAGATAGCAAGATGTTATAAGATCTTTTTCTAGTACTAAAATAATCAAAATCTACATAATCTGATTTATTATACTGTAATCAAACATGAGTTTCTATAGATTGTTTATATACAAATATGTATATAACTGATAGATATATCTTTTGTATAATGTAATCTATATTGTGAAAACTTTTTTTAAGTAAAATTGAATTAATAACTTGTGAATAGTGACTCAAAAATATATTCATTACACTATTAACTTATAGATCAATTTTTATTTTTATTTATTTATTTATATTATTTCTTTGATATTTTTTAATATTTTTATAAATACTTAATTAATATAAATTATATAATATATAATATAATTTACTATAGATCAGATAATCCAGAAGACTTAGAAAATTCAAAAGATTCAAATAATTTTTTTTTTTTTTTTTTTTTTTTAAGCTGGCTTGGTCAAGTTTATTAGCGAAGTTTAACATGCAGATATATCTGATCAAAAGAAAAAAAATAAGAAGCTAGTAAACTAATAATAGGTTAGAACCACTTCATGGCTAAGCCATCTCCAGACAGAAACCTAATGAAGGACCATTAGGGCGATAAAAATTTCTTGAGGGTGATGTGTGTAACGAATCTATGTCTGCCATAGACCATCTGGTCTGTTGTACTAATGTGTTCGATACCCTACTCTGCTATCTCTATTTGAATAAGAAGAATGAAGCTAAAACTGTACAAACTTAAACAGTGATGAAGATTCTGCATTACAAAAAAGGCACCGGAAGGAGGAGAGGAAATGGTTTGGTTATGGGTAACTTGGAGACACACTACTACTACCATATTGATACCGTGGACTGATTACTTTTTGAGGGCTTCATCAATTCAGGGCGTAGTACCTGTTCCTTCATTGCTTTCAGTATCTCCATATTGTGGTCCTTATCTGCCAGTTCTTGCCTTTTCCTTCCATACCCTATCCAGTATGGGATCTTTTACAGATGTTCTTCTGGGTGATGATAAGTCAGGGGTTTCAAAGGACTCTAGGACATGGGAAGAGGTGAATATGTACTGAAGGGTTGGGACCTGTCATCCAACAATCTGTCCTTCTTTATCATTGCGATAACTCCAGCCTAAAAAGGAGAATCTTGATACTTTCAGCGTGCGCCTTATTGGACTTAATAAATATCATACTGTTTTTCCCAGAGTATTACCATCTGTAGAGATTGAGCCATTGTCCTATGTCTCATTATTTCGTATTCTTCAGCCACTGAAGGGTCATTCAACTGCATATTGGTATTGTTAATTATCATGCTGATAAAGAATAGGTGTGGCACTTTTAAGGCATCATCCTCATTCTGTATTCCTTTGAGTCTGTTCTTCTTTCTTCTTTCAAAATAGAGGAGGTGGGAGAGGTATATTCCTTCTCTTTCACTTAGCCAAAGATGTAGGAGTAGACAGTATTCATTATTCACCCGCATCAACACTATGATTATTGTGGACCTCAGGTTCTTATGGAGCTGAGGAAATGCATTTGAACACGTGGAGTGATCAATAGGAACTTGTTTACTTCTTTTTACTGATGTGAGCTCTGTCTGCCCAATCACAGTATGAGAAACTTTGTGCTACTCAAAATTCAGGGTCAAACTGAGGTGGCAAAATTCCCTAGAAAAAACCAAGAACGAGCACTATGAGAAGCCAGAATAGATGACAAAAGAGTGGAAAATTTGTCTCTCATCATCACAGAACTTCTGTGGTGTTTCTCTACAGTGTAAAATAGCGGCACATTAGTTCTTCTTCCTTTCGGAACTTTCTTGTCATAGGTAGGAAAGATAGTTTCTTGATCTTTAAGATCACTAGAGATCAAGTTTTTATTTGAAGAGGATAGTAAGCAAAAGGGAGGGGAGGTGGTTGATGGCACTTGAAGCTTTTTCAAGTTGGTTTAAAGAAAGTGATAAGACTTT